AGGTGGGCAGGAACAAGGACAATTTGGGATACAGTTCTTCAAGCAGGACAGTTTTTTCTTGGCCTGCTGCTCTTGCCAGCCATCTCTTGTGGTCTCTCATGTATTAGTGTGACAATACTTGTTCCTTCTCTTCTTGCTTCTCCATAAAAACTTTGTCAGGGAGGCTAGATAACTCGCAAGTTCCTAATGAGCATCAAGAGTCACCCCTTGAAAGACCAAGATCTAGCCAATCCAGTGCATGGGTTACCTACATCTTACTTGTATTAGAAAAACTGTCCGATCCCATTGGTGGGCCACGTGCACCTTATTTGCATAACCCCACCCAATCATCCCATAGGAGCCCTATGACCATTGTTGGAAAGGCCACAATATAGCAACTCACTGTACGGCACTATGCTTTCCGTCCTGAAGTTAGCATTTCCGAATCTGTGGTTAGTTGTCCAGTCAATCCCAATGCTGAGGGCTTTCTTTAGAAGTCGATCAAGGCACATCTCGGTGAGTTAAATCACCAACACTGGCAGCCAGTAGCCTAGCACTTAATCTTTCAACCCACCCTAGCTCTCCTTAGCGCTTAGGAAATGCTTCCACTCTTGGAACGTCAATGGCTGATGGCTAGCTTCAATGCCTGCACTGCTGAGCACCGGGACACTGTTGGCGGCAGCGGGACAGGAAGGGGCTTCCCTAACCAGGAGGTCAAATGCAGTCAGGTCCGCCTCTGCACGTTCATCATTACTAAAAGTAAAAGACCCAGGGCCAGACACAAACTCCACACTGGTTAAAAGGCGCTTGATGAAACATTAAGAGCGTTTCTAAGTGTTTGAAACTAATTCTGCCATGAAGTTTCAGTTTTTGCTTACTTATTTTAAACAAATAGCAGGAGGAAGTGGTAGTTGACTTGTTCTAATTTCAAGATGTGAATAATTAACCTTCCAGGAAAAAAAAGTGGGCGGGCAGAATTTTAAAAGCAAGTAAAGCAGTTGGCTCCAATAAATATGCAATTTAAAAGCAGATGGAACGACTAGTACAGATGGCCACCCCTGATGTATCGTTGTGCCAATTCCCATGAAATCAGTCATTACTACGCTTAAACTGTTGGGGCGCTACTGCCCCGAAGCTCTGCCTTCAGGCACTTAGTCCCCTGCCAGCAAATAGATTCCAACTCAAAGTGACCCTGTAGAACAGAGCAGAACTGTTCCGAAGCTGGCTTCTGAGGCTGTAAGTCTCTGTGGAAGCCCAGTGCCTCTTCCTCCTCCCATGCTGCAAGTGGTAGGTTTGAGCTGCTGACTGTGGTGAGGAGCCGAGCACTTTAACTGCTGTGCCACCAGGGATCTTTTTCAGGCACTTTACATCCTGGGTAACACTGCCTTTTGTAGGGAGTATGGAAACTGTAAAAGGCATAAAAGGTTCGATTTTTTTTTTTAAGGATCATTTCTTTTGAGGGGGGCTCTTACAGTTCTTCTATCAATCCATACATCAATTGTATAAAGCACGCTTGTACATATGTTGCCATCATCCTTTTCTGAACATTTACTTTCAATTTGAGTCCTTGGTATCAGTTCCTCTCTCCCCCCGCCGCCCCCCCTCCCACCCAATCCTCATGAGCCCTTGATAAATTATTATTATTTTCATATCTTACCACTGTCTCCCTTCAACTGTGTTTCTGTTATTTGTCCCCCTCAGGAGGCAGGAGTGGTTATGTGTTTATCATTGTGATCAGTTCCTTCTTTTTCTCAACAATGTTTTTGTTTGTTTATTTGTTTTGGGTCTTCTGATGCCTGTTACCTGTTCCTGTTAACACCTCATGATCACACAGGCTGGTGTACTTCTTCCATGTGGGCTTGTTGCTTCTCTGCTGCATGGCTGGTCATTTAACTTCAAGCCTTTCAGACCCCAGATAGCTGGGCACCATCAGCTTTCTTCACCACGCCTGCTTGTGCACCCATTTTGTCTTCAGCAATCATGTCGGGAAGGTGAGCATCATGGAATGCCAACGTTTTAGAACAAAATATTCTTGCATTGAGGGAGGGCTTGAGCAGAGGCCCCAAGTATGTCCACTTCCTCAATGTATTGCCATATAAATATATGTACATAAGACAATACCTTTTTTTAGGAATTGATATATTTACATAAGTGCACACCTATGTTCATACATCTATCCATAGCTTTGCTTCCCAGATCTTTTCTGTTTCCTTTTGCCTTCCTCCTCTCCCAACATCACACTCGCTTTCTTCTGCTTCTTAGGAATTCCTCTCAGCTACATTGCTGCTGCTCCAGGATCTCTACGTCCTCCTCGTTGATTTTAATTCCCCAGTTGTTCCCCTGTCTATGGTGCTGTTTGCTCACCGCTCCCTTCCCCCACCCCTCCTCCCCCCAAGTCCTTTTGAAACCATCGGTCAGTTGCTTTCTCCTCAGGCTTGCTCCCCATGCCTCTCTTAGCTTCCTGTTCTAACAGCAGGAGCACTGGGTGGGTGATGCTACCTGGATGCCAGTTTGCTCCTCAGGACCAGGTTCACATTTTTATATCAAATTTTATTATTGCCACAAATGCTAAGTTGCTACAAATTTCATTCTGAAAATAAGCTTTCTCCCAGATGGAGGGAGGACCCCTGGTAAGGTAGTAGGTTGGGCTTTGGGCTGTTAGCCACAAAGGTCAGCATTTCAAGACACCCGAGGAGTGTCTCAGGAGAAAGGTCAGGCTTCGACTCCCTCAGGGATTTAGTCTTGGAAACCCACAGAGATAGTTCTACTCTGTCCTGTAGGGTCACTGTGAGTTTCGTCTGGTTTTCCCAAATAACAATTGGTCATCATTTCTTAAGATGTTTATCTAGAATGAAATCATTATTGTACCCAATGCTATAAAAAGCTTTTGCTTTGTAGTGTCTCTATAAGAATAAAATTCAGTATCTGAATTCATATCTTTGTACCCACATTCCCAGGCAGCAAGTGGATCCTAACTCACACAGTCACACTGGTCCCTAAGGTTTCCAAGTCTGTAAATCCTCACTGGAGTAAACTGCATCATCTTTTCCCCCCATTTTCTTTTTGGGGGGAGTATATTATAATAAAGGTAAAACCTACCAGAGCCCCAACAAGAATATCTAGTTACCCAAGTGCCCTAGGACATGTTACTGTAAGAAGACTCTAGAATCTCAGTATACTAGTAACTGCCCCACGACTGTGAGGAGTCCTGGGGCAGACGTGGGTGGAGTGCTGGGCTGCTAGCCGAGAAGCCTGTGGTCCACCCCCCACCAGCGTCTCCGCAGGAGAAAGATGAGACCAACCAACTGCTTTTGTCAAGATGTCCAGCCTCGGAAACCCCACGAGGTGGTTCTGTTCTGTCCCACAGGGCCACGGTGACTCCAGGGATGTCGGAGTAGCACTGTGCCCCACATGGTTCCCATGGACGGAGATTCCAAGTAGTTCGCCAGCTTTTCTTCTAAGGCAGGCCACTCTGGGTAGACAGAAGCCCCAGTCTTGCAGTCAGCAGCCACGCATATTAACTGTGTAAAGATTCCCGTATCGAAGTGCTCTGATTGCGTTTCCTAAACTCATTTGATTCACGGTGCTGCTAATTCATCTTGAAAGTACCATGGACCGCCAAAAGAACAAACAAGTCTCTCTTGGAAGAAGTACAGCCGGACTGCTCCTGAGAGACAAGGATGGTGCGACTTTGTCTCATGTACTTCAGACACGTTGTCAGGCCAGTCCATTCCCTGGAAAGGCGCATCATGCCTGGGGAAGTAGAGGGGCAGCGAACAAGAGGAAGGCTCTCAGCAAGATGGACTGGCACCGTGGCTGCACCCATGGGCTCAGACAGAACAACTGTGAGGACGGCACAGGACGGGGCCGTGCTTCCTTCTGGTGTGCACAGTGCTGCTGTGAGTCAGAACTCACTCAATGGTACCCACCAACAGCCACAATCTTGTTCCCCAACAGGCAAAGGGGAAGGGTGAGAATAGAAAGGAGAGGAAAAGGGGAGGCTGGAGAAGAAATAACAAAAAAATCAGAAGAATCCAAAACAAACAGTCAAAAAAATTGTTGACAGCAAGGGGGGTCAGAGCAGAGAACCAAAACCCATCTGTAGACAATAGGACATCCCCTCACAGAAGGGTCGCAAGGAAGGGATGAGTCAACCAGGGTGCAGTATAGCACTGACGAAACACACAATATTCCTCTGGTTCCTTGAGACTTCCTCACTCCCCACCATCAGGACCCCAGTCCTGCCTTTCAGTTCTGGCTAGACTGGGGCATGTCCACTGGTACAGATAAGAGCTCAGGACACACGGAATCCAGGTCAGATAAACCCCTCAGGAACAGTAATGGGAGTAACAATCCCAGGAGGGTGGAGGAGGGGGGGAGGAGAGGAGGAAGGGGAACTGATCACAATGATGGAATCATAACCCCCCACCCCCCGCCCCTAGGGGGACAAACAACAGAAACGTGGGTGAAGGGAGACAGTGGTTGGTGTAAGATATAAAAATAATAATTTACCAAGGGGCCACAAGGGTGGGGGAGAGGGATAAAAGAGGAGAGGATACCAAGGGCTCAAATAGAAAGTAAATGTTCAGAAAATGATGATGGCAACCTAAGGACAAATGTGCTTGATACAATGGATGTATGGATTGTTAAAAGAGCCCTCAATAAAATGATCTTTAAAAAAAAGAAAGAAATTAGAAGAATCAATTTGCTTCTTTTTGCACCAGAAGTAATATTTGAGATGGAAGTGACAAAGTTAGGCACGGACAACTGCTTCCAGGTGTTCTTTGACAGAAGAAGGTAAGGACCTGGCTTTCACACACCTCTGAATGGGTTCAAATTCCAGTCTTCCTTTTGAAAAGCTGTGGCCTTGAATACATGAATTCACCCCTCCCTGTTCCCTCCCGCAGAGCCTCAGGCCTGCATTGGCATTGCATAGGATTCGCTTGCTGGTTTTCCAGCCTCCGCCCAGCAAGACTGGCCCTGTGGCTGCAGGGATGGCATCGGGAGAAACAGAACGGAGCCAGGGCTGCTGTGTGTTTTATTAAAAACATGTTAAATAAAATAGTGATCCTTTGTATGTAAAACTGAACTGGAGTCCAGGGCTCACGGTGGGGGTGGGGATGTGACTGCGGTGACTCCTTTTTCTTCGTACACAGGAGGAGGCGAGTCAGGAGGCAGGTGAGGTGCAGTGGAGCCCTCCAGGGCTGAACAAGTCCCAGAAATAGTGTAGACAGACTCACGCTCTCTCGCAGAGGCTGCAACGAGGCCCTCGGGAGCTGGAGTCCTGCTGGAAAGAAGGAGGAAATTCTGAACCAGGGGGAAGGGAAACAGCCCCACCCCTTCAGTGCTCGGCTCTTTTCAAATGTTTCATAAGCACTGGCGTGCTAACCCCAAGCTGGGGGTTCAAATCCACCAGCCACTTTGTGGGAGAGAGATGAGGCTGCCTGCTCCTTTGTTGCTGGGAGGCGCCCTTCGAGTCGGGGCAACTCCAAGGACAACTGAAGGAAACACTGCCTGGTCCTGCCCCCTCCTCACCGGCGTGAGGTTTGCGTTCATTGTTGCAGCCCTGGTGTCAGGGCACCTCAACGCCTTCCCCTTCCCCCACTACCCTCTCCTTGAGCTAGCATGATGTCCTTCTCCAGGGACTGGCCATCCTGATAGCATGTCCACAGCACATGAGACAAAGTCTCGCCATCCTTGCTGCTAAGGAATGTTCTGGCTGGATTTCTCCCAGGGCAGGTTTGTTTGTTTGGGGGTTTTCTGGTCATTTGTGGTACTTTCAGTTTTCTTCAAAATAAAGATTTACAGCCCTGGAAACCCTTGATCGGCTCTCCCTGAGCACAAAGAACTAGGCGGCAGCTTTCGTTTCAAGAGGATCTACGGAATACTTTCTTCCATCTTCCACGTTACAGTTTGATCACTTACTTCTCTGCCATGAAGTTGATCTTGACTCAAAGCCACCCAACACGGCAGAGCAGAACTGCCCCATAGGCTCCCGAGCTGTCATCCTTACAGAAGGAGACAGACAGCTGCAAGTACAACTGCACCTTCCCCCGGGAGGGGCAGCTGGTGGGTTCCAAATCCCTGAGCTTTGAGCTAGAAGCGAAGCACTTACCCACAGAGCCACCAGGGCACTACTTTGATGGCTTAATCCTTACTTTGCTGAGAGTGGATCCTAACAGTAAAGCACCCACGTTGTATGACCCACAAGGTCGCCAAGATATTATGTAAGCCTACATGATACTCACACTCCAGTGTTTAGGCTTATAACCTAGCTAATTTGCAGGTCTCGGAAACTAAGCACGCCTATTGTGAAGCTCAAATGTAAAGTCTTACCGAAAGTTAAAGATACTGTAGTATGAAGGCGGGCTCTCATGCTGATGCAAACGGTTCGCTTGAGGACTTCGAGTTGCTCCAGATGCTGAAGATTCAGGAAAGTAGGGTGGTGGCGGAGGTGGAAATATTATCACCGAATCACCTAAGGAAATAACAGTTTGATGAAGACACGTAAGTAGTGAATGGAAACAAAATAGCAAGGGCAAAGTAAAGTCATTCTGCATTTGCTTCACCAATAAAAAGGTCCACAATCAACGCTCAGAGCAGCAGCCGTCAAGAGATGAAAGGGTGCGTCGCATTGGGGAAGTGTGCTGCACAGGCTTCTTTAAGTGTTGAAGAGCGAGGATGTCACATTGAGGACTAAGGTGCTCGCTCCAGATCCCAAGCCCGGTATTTCCAACAGCCGGTACGCATGTGAAAGTGGGCCAGTGGATACGGAGCAGCAGGTGGGAATGAGTGCATTGGAACTATGGTGCTGGAATGAAAGTGCATGCATTCCCAGAAGAACAGACAAATCTGTCTTGGAAGAGTAGAGCCTTCTTCCTCCTCCCTAAGGAGTAGAGTGCTCCATGGAAGTATGGAGGGTCAGAC